AAAAAAAAGGCAAGCAAACATTTTTCTGATCCATTTGCAGCGGTTCTGAGGCAGAAAAGGAAAAAGTAGCCTATACTTTCACATGAAGCTGTCTCTTTGACCGATGGTAATTATATCTTTCAGATGTTCCAAAGACAGTGGTTATTTTATCTGGGGGTTTGGTGGGTTTGGGGGGTTTTTTTTGGTTGATTTTGTTTGGTTGGTTTTTTCGGGGGTTGTTTTGGTGTGGAGTTTGTTTGTTTGTTTGTTTTTTAACCTGGTGTTACCACTCAGTAGTGTAAAACCAAACAAATGAACAAACCCCTTTCAATCAAAGACCTCTTTAGTCTGGGATCTGAGATGATTTGGCTGTACAGAGAAAAAAATGGTAACATCACTATTTGATCCTAAGCAGACATTTTTTTTAGTATCACCTAACACATGGTTAGTAAAAGAATTTCTAAATTAACTGTGGGAGTGGGGAACGTGTCCAAAGCCACTTCTTTTTTAAGTCCTGGATATCTTCCAGATATTGCTATGCACTTTTAAAAAAAATAAATCTGTATTGCAGTCTGTGCCAAAGAATAGTCTAAAGAAGTGTGTAGAAGATTTTTTTAAAATGATTGGTGATTGCTAGAACATTAAAGAATTGTTTCACCTATTAAAATATTCACTGATGGAAGTCCATAAACAGCGTATTGTTTTGGATTTTGGTGGGAGTAGAGGGAGAGTGAATTGAGTAGGACTGAAATAATGAGCAGAGAGCAAATGCTGAATGCATGATGCATGAAGCAGGATACTTTGACTGGGTACCTTCGTAGCTTGCAGCTAAATGTGATGATGCACATTATTCATAATTTAGAACTTAGTGGCCTGATGTTCCCTGAAAATGTAAAGTGACTTTTAAAATGTGATTTCACGGAGCTGAATGAAAGACCAGTTCAAAATGCATTAAGCAATAAGGATGTGTAGCTGGAAATCAGTGAGCTGCTTTTTCTCTGCAGTAAATTTATGATGCTATTTTGGTGTAACTAAATACCACCTTGAGAGAATAATAATAATAATTCCCTACTGTCAGTACAACTGGGCTTCCCCTCATCTAAAATGAACTCTCTAGCACAGGTGTCTGGGCTCTGTGTTGTCAGGGGTAAAAGTACAAGTATATCGCTAAGAAGTTCATAGCCAATGTGCTCAGGCAGCTGTTTCAGGGTAGGAAGAATTGCCCAGTATTTCTTCATAGATTATACAAGAATCTAGCTGTCAAGAGAAACGGGAGGAGGGGACTGCCAACCACTGCAGGTGCTTATCAGCTCCTGGGTGCTATGTGTGACCTTCCCCCAGTTGTGTTCCACCAGTATACCCTACCCTGCTGTTTCCTTTCCCTCACTGCCTCGTGGTGTGGCACCTGCGGTAGCGAGAGCTACAGTCTTGCCACCAGTCTTCATTGTGGCAGTCTCTGTGTCAATGTCCTATTCACACGCCTCCTGCTCCTTTGATCTTCACCTTTGGGTCAGCTCTTCCCCTCCCTGGTGCGAGCTCACCACTGAGGATGCTCAGGGAGAGCAGGAGGTAGGTCTCCTAGCTCTCCTTTCCCACGTCTCCCTACATTTGGTCACATAAATGACCTTCCCTCATTCCAGTCTGAGGCTTTTGTGAAGATCACACGGTGCAGCCTTTCCCCACCCTGCAACCTTAGATGCATGAGTAGCTGTCTGGGGGGGCTCGTGGGCCCCAACGGGTCAGACGGGTGCTGGTGTGGAGCAGGGAGAGTGGCCCAGCCCTGGCTCACAGGACATGGGTGCAGCCAAAGGGCTGTGGGACGGGAAGCTGATGAAGCTTGTTTAGTACTCGTTGCCCAAGGCACAGCAGCAGGGCCATGGTAGTTGGAAAATGCCTTCCAAGTTCTGTGGAAAGCTGGTGTTGTCCCATAGGCCTTGTAACCACGTTCAAGTTAGACACGACCGTTGGCTGCAGATGATGTCATCGCTGTGGCGTATTCGTTCCTGAATGCTTCCTCTGTCAGCTCGTGTTTGCTGTGCCCTGAGTGACTGCTGGTTTGCTTCCATACCCGGCAGACTGAGATTTTAATTTATTGTGTTTAAATTTTTTAGTAGGGATGTCATGGAACTGTACTGAATCAACAACATCTCTGTGAGACCTGAGAGTTCTTTCTTTTGTGAATGTTGTACTTCTGGTTCAGCAAGACTGGAGTGTCATCAGGCTCTAAATCTCAACAGATTTTATATGCACAGTGTTTCCCTTGAATAAACTGTCAGATTTTATTCTGAGGTAGACTGATCAAAGCTAAAATGAGTATAGAATAATAATCTTATTTACAACTACTTGAGTAAGAAATATTTCATATTTCTGAGGCACACTCCAGACAAAATGCCAAGTGATGTTAATACTACAATACCACCATTCCGTTGTCTAAATGGCTATAAGGAAAAAAAAACAAACTATGAAAATTCTCAGCGGGTTTTAATGAGGTGCTTTTATTACTTATGGTCTGAGATCAGACAGGCTTGGTTTCCTCAGCTAGACTTGGGCAATGTGGTAACAGAGGTGGACTCTCTGCTTCTTTTTCTGCTGGTCAAAAATCTCCACAGAGACACCTTTTTTTTTTTTTTCCCCAGGAGGAACAGTGGAATTTGGGTTTTGTCAGATAGGAATCCATCAGGTACTTCAGAATATATATGCAAACATATGCACAAGCACGCTTCCATTTTTCTGGTTGTGCACAAGGCTGAAAGCACATATCCTCTGCCTCTTGCCACGAGGGTGGCTGATAAACGTGTCCTTCAGCTCCCTGGTGGCCCCAGCCAAGCTGTAGAGGCTTGAGACTGGTCTGGGAGCATTTGCCTGAAGTTTCTAAATAATTCATAGGTGTATTTTCAGAGCAGTAAATGAATATTGTTATTATATTCAATATACTGTCTTTTTAATATTATTCTATTGCCTCAATGAGGCTCTTTCATTAAGAGGCGATGTGTGTTTGGATGTGCGTACTACACGTAGCAATAGATGGATTGGAAAATGCAGGAAGCTTTCTGTTAGAACTGACACTCGAGGGGTGATGGCTGGCACAGACTAGATGGTGATTGGGTATGCTTTTTTGGTTTAATAAAGCTGGAGAATGTGAAGTGAGTATATTCAAAGTATTTGCAGTTGAGACATGTTTTGGAGGGCTTTGGGTCAGTCAGAAGTGCTCCATCTAGAGAAGTAGATGTCTTTTCCTCACCTTCTCTGTATCCTCTTATTTGGCATTTTGGTGTGAATTATTTTAGTTATTGCAAGGTTGGTTATAAGGAATACTTAGAGAGAATTAGTACTTCCATCTGCTGTTGTTCTTGATGTGCTTTCTGACTGTATTCATGAGGCTAATGTTTGCTCTAGCTAACATTAACAGTTACTAAAATAATCTAAGTGGCCATTGCTTCCTGCTGGCATTAGAGGCCCTGGTAGTATATTGGGCAAAAACCTGCTCAACAAGTTCCTAGGAAGGTGAGCTTGGCTTTTCCTTTCTAACTTTCAAAACCAGCCAGCGTTGAAGGGTTCGATCATTGTGTCCTGCATCACTGGAGTGGCAGCGCCGCTGTAGTGGCACGTATCTCCCATGCCTTCCCTAAAAAACCACTATGCTTTTAATTTCTCTGGTGCAAGCCTCGCTGCTGGGTATTTACTTTTCACAAATCATATTAGACAATGTAAGATAAATTGCCTTTGGAAAGGTGCCTTGTACTTGGGTTGTGACTGAAAACCAGGTATTACCCTAGGTGGAAAAAACCTGAGGATTTATTTTTAGTATCTCAAACTGAATAGTGACACGGCTGGGAGGAGGTGGGATTGAGCAGCTGCCTGCTTGCAGGGTTGGGCACTGCCAGGAGGTGCCAGGATCTGGGCTCAGGTTTGAGCCAGGATGGTCAGACTGCCGCCTCTAATGGTTTTATTTTCTTCACTCTGTTACTACTGGTTTATTTTGCTCTAGTAATTATTTACTGGGCAGAAAGGGAAAGGGCTAATCTCTAGGTTGAATGCAAGGGCACTTGTCTGGGGTGTGATGGGTCTCTTGTAATGGTGGAATTTGTGCAGTTTAATGGGTTGTTATTTGTTCTAAAGTGAGTGGAGATCAGTGTTTCAGGGTCTCTTGAGTTAAAATAGGTGCATTTGTCCAAGGAACAAAAATACTTGATTTCAGTGATTGGCCCTTTTTATACAGAAGCAGTATTTTTTGCTGAAGACTTGCTGGTGGGCTGTAATTTACAGTATTTGCTGCAGGTGTGGATTTAACTGATGTGCTGATGAGAAGAATCTTTACAATCAGCGGCAAGCTCTGGCAGCTAATATTGGGCTAGAACATCTGGTCTTTAGAGAGGGAAGACTTTCAGTGTGCTTGCTCTCGACTCCTCCAAATTTCTCGACTCCTCCAAATTACTCGACACCTCCGTGAGGGTCACACAGACGGGCCTTGGCCAGCCTCAGGGCCTCACAGCAGGAGGCTCGGAGTAAGCCCGTGTGAAGTCAGAACGTAGGGCTTGAGCCTGGGGCATATCAAGCAGTGTCCAGCAAACCCTCAAACCCTCGTGTTTTGTGTGACACATCCGCCCGTGAACATTTTGGTTTCAGTATGTTGTACACACACGTACATAGCACCGCCTGACGTGGCTTGAAGTGCCATGGGATGAAATAGCTATCTTGTGAAATTCACAGTAGAAATTAATCTTGGCAGACATAAGAAAACTGTGTCCCAAGTCCCCCTCTCCTATTTCATGGTATTTTTCCCTCATAAGTAAAAATGTCCTAAAGATGGATTCTAAGCTGCCATCCAGGGATGGATGCATATGTTCTGTAGCTTTAAAACAGGTATAATTATTGTCAGCTGCCCTGTGGGTGTGGTTTGACTATCCACTGATTTTGTAAACTGTTTCGACAGCGTTTGCTGGATAATTTCTTAGCATAATAATTTTTATGTCACTATTAAAAGCATCTTTGTAACCCTAGCCTTTGTTTTCTTCTTACAGCAAAGAGCTCCAGGGAAGGTTTTGCATGATGCTGTTTGCAGCCACTTGAATCTTGTTGAAGGCGACTATTTTGGCCTTGAATTTCCAGATCATAAAAAGATTATGGTATGTAAAATGATTAATTTGGTTTTCATCACATTCTCTCCTTCTGCTCCTTACTTATGAGATATATTTAATCCTCAATCTCCAAAAGTAAAAAAGAGTTTTTAAAATACAAACTTTTTACCTGCTGGAGTTGAAGAAATGTTTTTAAAACTTGATTACTCCTGTCAGATTTCATCATGTGTTGAAAGTAACAGCCAACTCAGACAGGAGTTGGAAACGTCTTTTGTTTTTATCAGTTGCAGTAGAGAAACCAAGGGCTGGCCCGTTGCAGAGGCTCAACTCTAATTTTACAATGCTGCTTAATTTGGAGCTTGGAAATAACCTTTCTCTGCAGACAAAGAAATTTAACTGGTTGTGACACAGTTACATAAAAAATATTGTTGGACAAGAAAGTGGATAGATAAAATATAACAAGGTTAATCAGAAGGAAAGCCAAACCCCAAATAAATTGATGGAAGTCCTGTGTTGGGAGCTGTGTGGCACAGACAGGTGTCCTATTGCTGACACTTTGGACTCTGAGAGCAGCTGGTGGCAACATTCAGGCTTTGCACTAATAGGCTGGTATCATATAGCAGAGAAAGCCAAAGAGTAATGACTTTCTTTCTGAAGTTTGTTTTACTCTAGACTTACTGCATGTCCACCTGGCATGTGTGCTTGTTATCTGGATTCTTTGACCAGTGCGTTGTGGTGTATACTAGATTTCTTTCCTGTACAGTAAATTCTGCACTGGTAGGCTGGCTGACCTAAAGACTTGACTTTGGGCAATTAGGAAAAAATAATCTATTTTTGGCCTTTTTATATAAAATTTCTGTAAGTAGTAATATTTCTTAACAAAAGGAACAAAAGGGGATTTATCTCTTGATACGTAATCTGTTGCCATGCCTTAGTGCAGGCTTATGTAGATGCATAAAACTGAACACTAATGATCATGTTTATGCTAAATATAATTAAAGAAGACTTTTTAAAAAAAAACCAAACAACAAACCATCCATCTTCAGAAGTGGTCTGCTTCACAGTTTGCTCCTGGATTTACATGAAACAGTTTACAAGAAAATTTTGGATTCTGCCAGATGTCCTTGGCTAATGCTGTAGGTAACTTGAGAGCTTAACGTAAGTCTTCACGACAGTGCAACTGTACAGTGCTGTTACAACAGAGAGTCCATGTAGCCATGGTATTAATGGCATACTGACATACCTGATGTATGTATGGAAAGCTGAAACAAATCCTTATGTCTTGTGTGTATCCAGTTGCTTTTTAGTTTGAGAGAGTCATTTGATCGACCTTCTCTGCTTCACAGGTCATTAAGTTTCAAATAGATGACTTTCTGTGTTTTGCTCAGAGACCTGAAGTAAACTAACGGTTTTCAGTCTTGTGAAAACAAAATGGTTTATTTGCTTGAGGCAGAACACAGGAGAGATTGAGGTGCTGCCAGTGCCTGAGGCCCTCGCGGTGGCAGGAACTGACTGGCTGAAAATATGTCTGGATTATCACAGTGGGGGAGCCAGGGCTCTGATGAAGAGGAAGGTGGAGAAAACCCCCTAAGGCTGCTACCACTTCGACCTGAAGGAAAACACCTCCTTGCATCCAAGCACAGTAACTCACCTGGCCTCTACTCTTGCAAAAGGAAATAGTAGCCAAGTATCTGAAAGCGCTGGTCCATGTCCCTGCTGGTTGTCCCAGTCTTTGGTTCTGAAAAAGGGAGAGATCCCCAAATCTTGCCCACATCTAGTCAGCTGTTCCCCCCAAATGGTGAGATTCAGTCGAAATAACACCTTCGACTACCTAAGAGCAACTCAGAAAATCTGAAGCAGAAGATTTGATTATGAATTGTTATTTCCATGTGTAGCAGCACTCTGAGAGTAATATTTGCAGTTAAATTATAGTAACCAGTTTATATGATTCAGTTGAGGTGAATGTTCTTGTGGAATTTAAAACTTTCTGAGCTTCATAATGGCCATAATGTCAAACATTGTGCAAATAAACAAAAATACAGTTAATGGTGTGTCTGAGAAATAAAGCATCGTGTGTATTTTACATTCATATCATCTGAAGAGAATGACTTGCTTTTCCAATGTAGAGTGCAGTGTAAAAGGAAAAATAAATATTTAGAGCACATTTGTTTGGATGTAATCATATGTACACTAAGTCGTATATTCACAGTTCAGCTGTGTTTGTTTCAATGTGCAAAGCTCCAGACCTCATATCTGACATATTGACAGTTGTATGTCAAGATGCCTGGCAGCCGTATACATTCACATGTGCAGTTCTTTGTGCTAAAGAAGATCTGTGTGGGAGATGAACGTGGAGGGTCTGAAGGCTGCACTTTCTGCAGGGAAAAGGAGAAACGCGGCACTGTTGCCGGGCCTGGGGTTTCATGGAGTTTCATCACACTTGATGTCTGCCCCAATTCTCCAGCTGTTGAAATCCAGTCACTATCACGGAATGCCAGACTTTGTTTTAAAAAAATAAGTAATTCAGCCTTTGTAGTTCCAGAGAAAATTGAAAACATGAATCTTGATTGAATCCTCACTTTATTTTTAATTTGCAGTTTATAAACCAGTGTCACATTGACTATGTTTAGACACAGTGTGGGAGTTGCATGATGTCTAAGTTTTTGTTGACGGTGGTAAGGTCTTCATTTTGCCCCAGCTTTCTCCATACACATGTTCAATACACACGTTTCTGGTATCCAGCAATGTGAGCAAAGATGTGATGTAACTTTCCTGTAGGATGACTGGGAACATGGCAAAAGGAATGACATACTTGTGTGCTCATGCTGTATCATAAATTCCCTCTGGAGAGAATGAGAGGATTTTTTGGGGAGTGTCGTGTAAAATACATTACTCCCATATTCTTTAAAACTGACTGTCTCACGTTCAAGATTTTTTTTTTCCCCACTGAATTTGGCAAAGCCACTGACCTTCATCGCAGATTATGAACATGCCAGATTTCTGAAACAAAACAATTTTTAGTTACTGCAATGCCAAAAAGTGTCAGAACCAGTTTACTGTGTGATAAACACTGTGTTCCTATCCTTGGCAAATGAAGTTTCTTTAGCCGTCAAAAAAAAAAAAAAATTCCAAAGGCTGTGAAACATTAAAAACATCCATTGAGAAAACATTAGTGAGTGTCAAAGGGCAGTAATGTGAGGTCCCTGTTAATTGCCAAGTACTCATATTAGTAATGATGAAAATAGCAAACAATGTTGGAGCAATTATAGCAGCAATAGAGGCCCGTTCCTGTCTGGCTTCTCAGGTGATTTTCCACAATATGGATATTTTGAGTATGTTTCAGTCTCTGCGTAATCTAAAATTATTAAAGGTCAAAGATGTATTCATTTCAATACATAGTCTTTTTCTAGAAGACTCAGTTAATTTGGTTTTTAATGGCTGTAACCTTTGTGATAGTTGTAGGACGTTCCTCCACAAATTCCAGATGTCTCCAGGGGAGGCTCTGCAATACAATGAGATAACAAAATAAAAATCTTGGTCATAGGTAGTTACCAGCTGAGGACCACTGAGCTCTGTTGCCCTTCTCCAGGCCCTGCAAGTCATCTGGCTTTTACCTGCTCTGCTGTGTGATCGTCCCTCGACTTTCCATAACATTTTTCCCAGACCCTTCTGAGTAAATCCGCAGAATGGGAGTTTAGGTTCTGAAAACTGTAGTTTCAGCCACTGCTTTGAAAGCTAAACGAAAGACCCCTACACTGTCCTGAAAAAAGGTTATTAAAAAACAAATAAAAGTAAACTATCTGGAGAAGTTGCACTGCCCTCAATTGAGAAAGCCTAGGCCTGAGCTTCCCAGCTTTATAGAAGAAAGAAAATGTTACACAGCTCGAAAGTAATCTTCCTCCCACCCATGCTTTGTGCTGTTGTCTGCCTCACACTCTTGAGTTAAGAGATGGTGCTCGGACTCTTTTTATCATCATGGGGCCAAGCAAAGGAGCTCCACATTTATGCCTAGGCCTCACAGTGGGACTTCTGCTGGGTCCCCAAAACCTGAAGGTTGCTGCCTTCTCTCCATTTGTACAGTGTTCCCAGCTCAAAGGCAAGCACCAGCCTCTCTCCCTTGCATTTTGCAAGATTTATTAGAGTGAAGACTATGATGACGGCATAGGAGTCTCTTTCTGAACTCCTTGATTCAGTTGGTCCTTCCACAAAACGAGTAGTTCCTGACCAAGCATGCTGTGGTTGTTGGTATCTGAGATGAGTAGGGGGAAGTTTCCTCGCTGTTTCCCAGCTCCCTGAACCTGTACTGCTTCCAAAGCCGTGCCACAGTGACAGCCTGTGCATTAAGGGTTGCTGTTTCCTGAGCATCTTTCAGAGTTTTGGGGAGAAAACCCACCATGTATAATTAGGGAGAGCATGAGGACCACAGTGGAAAAACTAAATAAGTACCTGATAATCTAAGTAGTGCAATGAAAAATGCTCCTCTAGTTTGTTCACAGATGGTAACACCACCTTCTTTTGTTTTCAGGTGTGGCTCGATCTTTTAAAGCCTGTTATGAAACAGATTAGAAGTAAGTATTTCCTTGTTGTCATTTATTGTGTCAGTCTGAGAGTACCTGAATAAATTAGGGCTCTGACAGTTGGGATCTTGATCTTCTCAACTTTCTTCACTGCATTTCGTTTGGATTATTTTTGTGTTTCTGGTCTGTACTTAAAAGGTGTATTGTGCATACTGTGAAATTATGTCACATTAGGTAGTCCTGTGAGGAGTAGGGACTTGGACTTCATGATCTTTATGGGTCCCTTCTAAGTCGAGATATTCTGGGATTCTAGGAACATATGAAGGGGTGACCCAGTAGAAGGCTGAGGTTTAGTCAATTGCTAGAAGAGGTGTCAGCAGTGGCAATGGAGGGCGCTATTTTGTAGAGAAAAAAGAGTGCAGTAAAAGAAGGATTAAAGGAACCATACATTGCTGACAGGTAGCAGTAATCAGGATAAAAGAAAAAGTACAGGAAGTTGTTACTGCTGGGAAGGAGCTGGCAAATATATCACAGCTATGTGGGACGTTGCTGCAGAACTTGGAACTGTCTGAAACCAGGAGGAGAAAACATTTCGGCTGTGGCTATCAAGGAAAGTTATGATGGGAAAGGGCAGGAAATTGTGAATAGCCATCAGCTCTGGCAAGAGTAGAAGTGAACAGGAAAGAGTCTGATGATTTTCTTTCTCTGACAAGTATCAGCAAAGTTCTTCCTTTATTGACCTTTGCCATTGAGATTAAGTTCTCCTAGGTGTCTCTCTGGTTGTGTTAGCCTGAGTGTATGCTCTGGCACCTCTCCCTCTCAGGAAAGAGAGATGCATTGATCCTTTTGTACTTGTAAGAGTCAGAACAGATGTGCTCCTGTTAAGTAGTAATTGGCTAGTGGCCTTGAAAAATAGAGTGTGTTTTAGCTCTCGCTTGTTCTGCAGCAAGGAAAATGGAGATGCCTAATATAATTCGTTGGATCAGCTGATGTAATTACTAAAAACTGACTTGGTTTTGGCAAAGTATCCCTCAACCAACTTATTGTTCTCTTTTATGATGTATAAATTTTATTGTGCAATCTCTAAATAACTTGAGCATCTGCACTGCAGGTTCCATGAAGCATCCATCATTTCGCATAATAAAATTTGACCAGCATGGTATTGATGTTTACTAACTTCCTCTGATATTTCCCCTAGGACCGAAGCACGTTGTTGTAAAATTTGTGGTAAAATTCTTCCCACCTGACCACGCTCAGCTGCAGGAGGAACTGACAAGGTTAGTAGCTGCATGACTTTTTCTTTTTTTTTTTTTTTTAAATTAAATCTCTGGTGAACAGAGGGGAGAACAGGGACTACGAGATGCTTGGGTGAGGATTGATGGATGCCTCTTCTAATGCTTGATATTATTTGCCCCAGCTTCAAATGCACCTGAAAACTAACCCCTGAGATTAGTTTGCAGACTCTGCTGAGATGTGCTGCAAAGTGCTGGAGTCCTTTGCCTCCTTACATTTGAGGTCCTGGCAGACCTTTGCTTACCCCAAGAGGAGTCAGTTGGGCAACAGAGTTCTCCAAGCCTCTTTGGTAATGCTGTTGGTAGGGACCTGACTTAGGTGTGTGTTGGCACACACACCTGAAGTGCTCCTCTGCAGAGGGACTCGTGTGACTCTGCACCCCTGCTTGTGAAAGAGTGGTTCTGCATGAATTCCCAAGTTGTAGCAGCACTGGACCCTATTTGTATAGCCAACACAAATGCTAAAGGCTTACATGTGTGAAAGTGTGAATTTGGAGATGAAGAACTGGAAAGGAGAGGAAATAAAATGAGAAATAAGAGGAAGATAGAGAAATGTATACACATAATGCAGAAAAGTACCTTAAAGGTGTTTATTTTTAGTGCATTTTGAAAACTTTATTTAAGCTCTGAATTTCACACTGCATTGGTATAAAGAGTCATATTTCTCTGTGAGTAAATATGTATATGAAGGAATTGTTAAGGTTCTTCCTCATTAATAGGTCCTTTCTTATTGGTCACAAACATTACTTTATTGCAGTATTTCTTCACTGCAACTTTTCAACTCTTTTTCTGATCTACAAAATAGTTTGGTTTTTTAATTACATTTACCATTCTGATTCATTATTTTCAGTTCCTATTTTCAATCCTCCTGTGAGATGAAGTCCTCTTTTACAAAGAACTCTTGTGTCCTTCTGACTTGTTTCATAAAGAACAAGTCCACCTTGGTGATGTTCTGTGTTTATTTCTGCATTGTTTTATTTTGGTAGTAGAGCAATGGAATGGAAAAAAAAAAGAAATTATTGGTATCTCTTGCTGGCCTGGAGAGGGAAAAGTAGACAAAATGAGTAGGAAGAAGAGATATTTACTTGAAAGGCTGAGTAAAAACAATGAAGGGATGAATGAAAACTCACAACATGATTTTACTGATGAAACATTTCTGTCTGCAGATAGATATTCTGCATATCAGTTGCTTAGTACGTGAGCGTTAAATTGATTTTTGGCGATCTCTTTATGCACATCGAGATGTGTCTCTGAATCCTAATGACTTGGTTTTTGTGTTAGATTTTTAAATGTGTATTCTAGGGAACTTAAATATATGTACACAGCAGCATGTAGGATGTGAAAACGTTTCCACAGGGAACAGCTTCCTCACTTGAAAAAGCAGAGAATACAACACTTCTGTGCTATATTCTGCTACTAGGGTGAATCTGTGGGGGTAGGCAGATGTTTGCAGATTTCAGAAGGACATTCTTTAGATCTGCTATATTATTTCATGTACTGTGTGTGTTTCCATGCTCTTTAAATCAGCTTGTCTTTTCCATTAAATTTACTTATATCCCCTTATTCAGAAACTCACCGTTCACATGAGAGCTTTTCACTGAACCTATTAAAACCTAGTCTTATTAAAAAAAGAATTAGATCCTAGTATGAGCTCTCCAGAGGAGCTGCAGTCTTTGGAAGGCCTTTTAAGGCATCTAACCAGTTCAGGTTTCATACCAGCTGGAGGAGAAGTGCCCACTGCGCTAGCTCATCTTTTCGTAGGGAACAATATGATTCTGTGCCGAACTTAGCAATTTCAGTTCCTGTTGAAGCTAGGAGAAATTTAAATGTTGAAATAATGCCCTGCATGGCTGAGATGGTTCGGAAGGGATGTTAAAAATGGCAGTTGATGGGGCCACAAGAGTATCAGAGCTAGCCAGAGTTGTTTGATCAAGATCTTGCTCCTCATTTCCAGGTGAGTGCCAAGGTGGAAATCGAGAGTTCTCCTTGTATTCCACAAGAGTTAGCTGATAACTGTAAATCACTGGTTTATCTGGCATTTCTTCATAGCTACAAGCAGCTCCATTATCTAGTGCTGCTTGCTGTGCAGTTGCCGAACACTTAATAGCCATCGCATTCACTTCAGCTGTCATATCTCACTGCTCCAGTTCCAAGGGAGGAAAGGAGGGAGGAAAAGGAGAGATATCTTGGTTCTGCAAACCAGCCACCGTGTAAGAGTCTAATGGCTGTAATACAGTATCTGTTATATTTTATTTCACCTCTAAACTTAGGAAATTCAGATCACTTCTGTAGATTCCAAAAAGTGAAAGGAACATGTAGGCAAACCCAGAGCTAGTTTTGAAATACTCTCCCCTGTGTCTCCTCACAGTTTGAGTAACTCTTCGTTCACTTTTGTTTTGCAGGTACCTATTTGCATTGCAAGTGAAGCAGGACCTGGCACAGGGAAGGCTAACGTGTAATGATACCAGCACTGCCCTCTTAATCTCGCACATCGTACAATGTAAGTTCCCTTTGTTCTTCTTTCCAGGAGGATAAACAGGGTGGTTGGTTGGACGTGCTTTCCTGGGTTACCTGTTAGTAGCTGACACAGACACATGTTTAAGCTATATGGATTACTTACTGCATTTCTGTATAATGGCATTCAAATACAGATAGTTTACTCTTTCAAATAAATAAGAGCTCCTGGACACTGGATTCGCATTTTTTAAAGCACTGCATTTGATAGCCTTTCAGAATCAATTTCAAAAAAATAATTTCGAAATCATTCAAAATCATTTCAAAATCAAACTGTGCTAACATTGGCAAACAGGTTGAATTATTCTGATTTCCTGTTTTATTACACTTCGTGTCATGTCAGCAGAGCATCCAGATTCCAGGAGATCTGTATGCTATCTAGAGAATGTAGTAAATAAACATACTTAGAAGGCCAGACTAAGTCACAGTCCGAAGAGGAAACTGATAGGAAAAAAAAACACCCAACAACAGATTTTAAGCTGCTTTGTTTATTTTTTTTGCAAAGTTGCACAAAAAGACTGTTCAGTAGAATCATATGTTAACTTTGTTCATCATACTAAAGTTTATTTTAGCTTCCAGATCACTTGAAAGGCAGTGTGTGTTTTCCATTTCAAGACTTTATGGATACTCATTTTGGGAATAGCATTAGCAAAAACCACTTAGTAGCATGTATAATGGTTGTAATAGACCGTTGTTTCGAATGGTCATTGTACAATTTAGTGTTGCATATTTCCACTGGAATGCTATTTCATGGAAATTGCAGTCAACAAAGATGTTCAGAAGCTCTTTAGTGAAAAATGGGTAAATCTCATGATCATTTGTCATAGTCTGTCTGTTGGGGCATTTTCTCATCATTTGCTGTTGGAAAGGCAGGTTTTGCATGATTTTCTGTTTGCCGTGGTCATCATTGCCCAGTGTAACTGAGTAGCAGTAAGAAGCTGTACAGTAGCCTCTATAAAAGTCTGTATTCCATTTTAAAACTGAGTGCTTTTTCAGCGTTGACTTGGTTAAACTAGTTCTAACTTCCTTTCATCTCAGGAAGAAAAGTCATGATTGTTTTGGGGAAATTGAGTATCATTTGTTACACTGCACTCTAGGAGGATGACACTTCCTACTGAATGTCTGTGCTCTAAATAAAGATGTTGGGAAGAGCACACTCTAATGCATGCGTCTCTCTTTATTTGAGGTATTGCCTCATGATCATCTTCTCTTGAGCTCTTATACATTATATGAATTTTTTCCTTATGATTTTGACTTTACATCCTATTTTGTGTCTTACTCATCTCTAATGGATTGCTCAGTTAATTTCTTCACTGAATCATCTACAGCTCTGGTGTCTGAACTGCTCAGAGTGCAACTGCTAGCTTATTTTCGTAAAGCGACAGCGTAAGAGGATAAAATACAGGACATCCTTTCACCTCTACAAGCTGTCCTTTTCCTTTTCTCTGCTCTCCACAGTCAAATGCAAATTTAATTCAGTATTTTTTCAAAATTCCTTCATTATACTCCTGGCCATTCCTCCTGACACACCTGTGCAGGCCAGCAGGAAGCATTCATTTCAAAGTATGCAAAAATAGCAAATCAGCACCTTTGCTCCTGTGCTGCTGAGATGTGTTATGCTGTTGGATTCAATTATTTTCCTCAGTTATTGGAAATCAGTATCATGCATTTGAAATCTTTCTAGTTCTTTGTCCACTCCACCTGTGAGCTTAAGGTGCAGAGTGATTCTTAGCTGGGATTTTAGGAATCAAGTAGTTCTCTCCATAGGGAGAGAGCAAGGTAAGATACTTCTGTACTGAAAAATGAAGTTTTTTCCATTATGTCAGCAGGACAGTGGTGGCAGATCCATCATGAAGGAGTGAGACAGCATTCACAGAATCTAAACTGCCATCTGAGGCAGAGGGATGTTGTACCTCATGGTGCACTTGCAGTGCTGCTTCCCTGACTGCAGGCTGCACCTTTTTTTTTTTTTTTTGCTCTTTATGATTTTCTTGTGTGTGTAACGGTGTTTGATAGAAACCCCTGCTAGAAGTTTGTCAAGCCTCATTTATTTGTCCACCTTGTGTCTCATGAACACTTCTCTGTGAAAATCTTCTCTGGCAAGAGTCTATAGCTGTATCTTGCCTACATTGGGGTTTTTTGTATTTATTTTCTCTTTAGCTTTTTATTTAGTAGCAAAAAAAAAATTACGTATTTGTCTGCAATAAAAATAAAACTAGACAGCCGATAAGAGTAATGATATCAAAGTGGTAAGATTGAGAATGCAGAAGGTTAGGTATTGTATGTCTTATCCATATTGTGCCTACAAGTGGTTTCTATGGGGGGATATTCCAGGAGGCCCTTACCTTATGTGTACAAGCTTATGTCAGTGTTACAGACTGTTATTTATAGGAAATCATGATATGACAGCAAATAGGTTTCTGTTAATCTAGCATATGTATTACAGAATAAAATTTGTATTTGAAACGTTCTATTTTAAAATGCCTTAAAAGCATTGTAGAAAGTGTTAGAAGCGAGAGGGCACTTTGATACTGCATATGATGCAGTAAAGTGAGCGTGTGAAGTAAGAAGATGGACTGATTAAAGGAAAAGAGCTGAAACACAAAGCATTAGACATATCAGAAGTCCTAATGCAGACAGAATGCAGCATCGTGTGATGCACTTGCAAGATAAAAGGAAAGGGAGCATCAGTAGAAATTAATCTTTTGCTAAAATGCATGTGAAGATTTTAAGGAAGAGTTTTATGTCTGGCTGGCAATATTCAAAATATAACTCCCTCTCATTCTAGAGGGAGTGCTACTAGAAAGTCATTTAAGGTGGAAAAGGAGGGCTAGGGAGAGAAGTCAGAGCTGTTGAGTACAAGGTCAGGCAGAACAAATTCAGAAGTAACTTGAAAGCCAGGAGGATAATTTTGATAATGGATTTGCAGTTGACAAATGCACAGAACATTATAGAAGTCACATAGAAATTAATTAAGTGTCTTCTGTGCTCTTGGTTCTGAAGAAAGCCATGCAGAAATCCATCTGTATCCACGGACGTACAGGTAGTGGACTACACTTCAAAGAATCAAGCCCCATGTTATCTGAGGTGTCACAATCCTAGGTGGGCTTGTGGCTTAATTAAAGAAGAGAAACTTGCCTTTCATGTGACTCAGGGTTAAAAACCGACCCTAAAGATTTGTGATGCTGAGGGCAATAAAACTGGAGTAAGGGAACTGTGTCAGAGGGACATTTTAGAAAGCAGAATTCTCAAAGATTCTGTGGTAAATTCTACTGTTTCAAGGAATTATTTAGAGCAGATGGGAGGAGGAAGGGGATGGAAATCAGACTCAATTATCAAATCTTTTTCACCTCTGACCTCCCAAGTATAAAATGTGTGGCTGCTGGCAATTTGGGCTGAAAAGTTACTGTTCTGTCATTCATAGATGCTTTGGTGCTCATCGTCCCTGCATACTCAAGGTTACTGCTCCCCCTCTGTATTTGCAGGTACATCTGATCCCAGGCAAACTTTTGTCAGAAATCCCCCACAGTGTTTTAAACATCATCTAAACCCTTTTTTTTCCTTCCCTAAACCAGTTTATTTTGAACAGAAGTGGATTTAAGGGTTCATTTACGTGGGCAGAACTGAGGTGAGGATGAGGCAAGAAACTGAGCTGGGGTCTATGATGTCCTAGGTCAGCTGTACAACAGCGTGTCCAGCTGCAGCCTGGATTTAAATTGAGGACACTGCTTTTTAATTTCATGACGCTACTAAGGTAGCAGCCTTTGCTGTAGCAGCATTGCTTTTATTCCATCAGGTTTTCAGGCAGAAGCTGCTACGCTGTTCAGTGAAAAAGCTAATAGCAAGATTTTTCAGAGGCATTCCAAGAATAGCAGGCAACAAGATAGTAATCTAGCACCCACACATAGATTGCCTGCCCCCCCATCCTTCGCCAAAAAAAGCAAATCTCACTGAATGGGCTGCAAAGTGGAAGGTGGGTGTGACATACTGTTGCACACACGGTATTGAATAACTGCAGCAGATGGGAGCAACTCTGAGGAGGAGAGAGACAGAATGTGTCTCAAACTGCTGCAAAATTAGAGGAAGACAAATGTTTCATAACCCCTTGAGGTGGAATAAATGCCTGCATTCAAACAAGCAAACAAAACCATCTCTCAGATTTTCCTCCAAAGATTACAGTGTGGGGACATGGGCCTGTGGAGGAAGCTTGGGCTTGGCTGCTCCAGGGAGAAACACCCGAGCACCTTGATGTGTGTGAGAGATGGATGAGTTCTGCTGAATTAGTGCTGCGCCTGAGCACCTTAATGTGTGTGAGAGAGATGGATGAGTTCTGCTGAATTAGTGCTGCCCTCCCTGTGTCGTCCACCTCCCCATATCGCGCACACGAGTCAAGGCAACACTGTGATGGTTTTGTTTGTTCAGTTGAAATCCATCAGCTGCTCACTTGTGGTGGACGGGAGAATCTTTGGCTCCTTCTCACGTGTTGGATACTAACACAGAGGAGAAAGGACAAATGTGTGGAAGATAACAATGTGGGGATCTGCATCATAAAACTGTGTCAGGGCTTGCAAGAAACTATGTTTGCTTCTCTGCCCTCTTCCCAGTGCTCTGCGCCTTTTGGATTGCTCAAATAAATCATATTTAATATGTTTTAATACATTTCTCTTAAAATTCTCTGTAGCTGAGATCGGGGATTTTGATGAAAACATAGATCGTGAACACTTAGCGAAGAACAAATATATACCTCAACAAGAAGCACTAGAAGACAAAATCATGGAATTTCATCGTAACCACACGTAAGACTTTTTTGTTCTTGTTGTTTGCATTCTTTTCCTTTAGAGTAGTTCTAACTGTAAACCCATGCTAGATCATAAGTACTGAAGAGATTTGGACCTCTGAGTTTCTCACAGGTTACTTCTCAAAAAACATTCAAGCCTATGAATTTCCTGAAGGTTACTCCTGTCTTTCTCCCATCATCATAACAAGACATTTAAAGAGAAATTGATTTTGAAATTCATTCAAGCATGCCATTATTTTACAGTCTATTTCTTACAAAATGCTTCAGTGCCGATTTTGTGCATGCAGGTATGATCACAAATGATGAATGATTAGTCAGGCACTTCTGACAGCAGTTGTCTTGATTTCAAGGGCATTGAATGTTGCCTTTTCACCTTTCCATGTGTTTGAAGGTGGGTGAAGATCAGGTTTAATGATAGTTTTAGGAGAAGCACAAAGTGCTTGCACAATTAAGGATTTGAGGGAGTAGGATTCAAGATGACAATGCAAACTGGTATCTTAAGGCGCGGTGAAAAGACTAGTGGTAAGAAGATGGTTAAAAGAATTACGACTAAGGCATAGAAAGATTGTGTCTTTTTCTGTTGAGAACATTTCGAGACTTGAATAGTTTCATTTTGAGCTACATTGAATTAGATATGAGTGGTAGGGAGTTCTGTAGCGGTAATAGTAAAAACTTTTGCATGATTTCATAGTGATTAAATCAGTGCTTATGGGCTATCAACGTTTGTGTTAAGGTTTTCGTATCTTCTGTTTTACTTCATTTTGGTATTACATTCAGGTTTGCAATGAACACTTCCTTACACACTTTTATTCATGATTTTTTAAGGAATACAACATGTTTTTCCGATGGAAAATACAAAAAGAAGTAGTAAATTTTGTTGAAGATAATGGTTCGAAACCTAGCTGTATCAGGTGTCTCAGAATTGAAGCAATCAAAATTTCTAATAGACTGTAAAATCTGTGGATTCTTTGCTATTGCTTTAGACTAAGATAAAATGAACTGGGGACATAGAAAAACTCACACAGATATTATACTTATGACAGGTTTCATTCTCTTTGATGAAATATCTCTTTGTTCTCTGGAAGACCTGGTGATCTCTATTAGAAGGTGTGAAGAATTTGTGTGTCTTCTCTGTTTTCTTTCTAAAGGGGACAGACACCAGCAGAGTCTGACTTCCAGCTTCTGGAGATTGCCCGTCGACTGGAGATGTATGGAATACGCTTGCATCCAGCCAAGGACAGGGAAGGGACAAAAATCAACCTGGCTGTTGCCAACACAGGCATTCTGGTTTTTCAGGTTAGAGCTGCTCAGAACACGACTTTTTACATTGTAAAGCAGGGAGATTTCTTACTGTGATAAAAATTTAGGACCCCAGCCATATCCAAAAGAATTCATTTGCAAAAATTTAGGAACTTCCATATTTTTTCTAAGGACTTTCAGCTTTTTATAGCTGCATTAGGTCCTTCATTTCCAGGGACTCTTACCATATTCGCATGCCTAGGGCAGAACTCCATCTGCAGCCACAGCGTGCTGTTCAAAATGCAAAGTGATCCACAATTTGCAAGTTGCTCATGCTGACACCTCCTGCCTATAGGAGTAAGTAGGTCTTCCAGGCACAGTGCATACCAGGTGGGTGTGAAGCAGGGACAAGTAAGACGACAGACAACTGGAGCACATAGAGAAGAATGTGGGTAGTGAGCATAAGCTCTCTGTAGTGTTACTGTCTCAGAGTTTTTACAATTCTCTTGGCCAGCTTCAGCCATTCTACTTTTGCTGAATCCACAGAATCATAGAATGTCAGGGGTTGGAA